TAGGGTTCAGGGACCCAAACCCCAAACCCAAAACGCTAAACCCAACCCCAAACCCTGAATCCCAAACAATTCGCAACTCCGCAAGCCCCCGAAATTTCGGCCGGGCACTGGGCTTCGTCCGCGAAGCTGCACCATGATCTTGGCGTAATGTAGGGGTGCTGACAATACAACCCCTATATAACCCCTATTACTATATAACCCCTATTATAGTGTAGTAGTTTCCATGTTCTTTTCCATTATCCCTGTATCAACCCTATATAACCCCCATTATAATGTAGTAGTTTTCATTTTCTTTTCCATTATCCCTCTATAAACCCTATATAACCACTATTATAATGTAGTAGTTTCCATTTTCTTTTCCACTATCCCTCTATAAACCCTATATAACCCCTATTATAATGCAGTAGTTTCCATTTTCTTTTCCACTATCCCTCTATAAACCCTATATAACCCCTATTATAATGTAGTAGTTTCCATTTTCTTTTCCATCATCTCTGTATAAACCCTAGAAGTCGGTTTTGGGAAGCCGAGCTTTTTGTTTCAAGGATCAAGTTTCAGCATTCGGGGTCTAGGAGTCTAGCGATTTGGGATTTCAGGTCTAGGCGGTCGGAGGTGTGGGTTGGGGTTTAATTAAGGGCTTCAGGACTTTGGACCTAGTTTGGCTTCTGGTCAGTTTCAGGTTTAGGGTTTGGTGTTCAGGTTGTTCCTTCTTGATGCTTTGGGTGCTTTAGTTGGCTAGCGAGGCGTTTCTGGTCAAAAGCTCTGGATCCATGGCACGCGTCCAGGGCTTTGTCTGTGGTTCAGGCTTCATCCCTCAGGCTCCTTTATTTGCTGTGTAGGGTAAGGAAGCCATAGATGAGTACGATTTCAGAAGTTCCGTGGTAGTTTCCTAAAATAGGGAGACCCCAATATAAACCCCAATATACTATTATCCTTATTATAGGCACCTCCACAAAGGTACCTCCATTTTTTTGGTAACCCCCCTCGTGGCTACTGTAAAGTTTTCGGCAGCGGGCGTTCATGAAATTATGAGGCTTTTAACTGGGGGAGTTTCTCAAAGTGGGGGCAATCTTCGGGAAGCCAAGTACATACAAGGACTACAGGAGTTATATCGGGCTATAATGGTGAATTAAATGGAAAATGAAATGGAAGCCAGGGAATATTTTGGGATTAGGGGTCCAGGGCACAAAGAGAGAGAGATGAGCTCAGCATGCTAGACCCTACATACCAACACAATAGGGTTTAGGGTTTAGGGAATGCTGCCGCGGCACCACCAGCAGGCCTAAGATCATGGCCAACCAGGTCGTCAACACCACGCGCCCAATCCTGCCGGGTCTGGGCATAATGGTTGGGGGAATGAAGGGCACCTTTTAAGGGAGATATAGGGCTTACGTAGGGACATATAGGGATATATAGGGATGTATAAGGTGTAAGGTTTAGGGTTTCCCAACATAGGGGTCGTGACGCGTAATCACCTCCCTAAAACAAGCTAGCACTGCGTGTTCCCTGTATGCTATCGTAACACTACCGGGGGGTATAAGCGGAGTGGGGGCCTTTACTGTTGGGGAATGCAATACCATCGTTCGAAGGACTATGTCAGGGTTTAGGTGTTGGGGGCTCCAAGTTTCATGTTGGTTCGCAGGGCAAGGAGAAGATTATGGAAACAATTAAATGGTATTTCAGGTTTAGGGTCAGTAGCGAATGGCGGAATGGACTACATACAGCACAGTGCTTTCCTGTATGCGTTGCTAGCTACAAATTGGCAGGGGGGGCTCAAGGACGATAACAACCCAAGAGAAGTAAATTCGGCCGCAGTCTACATCAGCTGACCTAGTAACACATTTCCACAGCTTGTTAATCCACGCATTAATCCGCGCGTTATAAAACGCTCTGCAATCCTGAGCTGGCAGCGCATTTGAAAATCTCCTACAATAGCAGCAAAAATGCGGCGGCAAGGATCCGCAGCACTACAAGCTGCAACCCTAAACCCTAAACCCAACAACTTCTGTTCCAACCCATCACTTGCACGCCTTAAACCCTAAACCCATCCCAAGAAGCAGCACAGGAAGTCATATCAGGGTAGTTCTGAAGATACTATGGGGCTGTATAGAGGTTTTTTATTTATATACAGGGGCCATATAGGGATTCTACGAGGATACTATTTCGAATATGAACCATGCCATGGATCAGGCGTTCCTAACAGGACCATCAAATCTCGCTATGAGTGAAGCTACCAGCCCCTTCCTCCGATCACTGAAAAAGAAGTTGGCACAGAACCTGCTCACAATGCTGGTCTCAACTGGTACCCTGGAACTTGAATGCCTAAACCCTTGCATTGCTTCTTTGTCGGTGAATGCTTGTGATTCTTCATGTTGTTCTTTCTGTCCATGTTTATTTGTGTATCTTTGTCTCTTCCTTTTATCTTTTTGAAGGTTTTCACCCTCGGTCTTATACTTGGAGCCTAAATCCTAATTGCTGAACCCTGAACGCTACAATATGCCCCTGGGGTCCCCCGGCAATTCCTATACTGTTAAGGAACTTAAACGATGTTACTATAATAAGGAAACCCTACTATTTACTACGTACCCATATTATGGTAACTTAATTTCAGTTCCTTAACAGCAACCCAGTACATAATCCTCTTTCTTTCCTGGGTCCCTCAAGATTCCCGACCCCCAAGCCGCTTTTTTGGCCAGACAGCCATGCTTTGGGCATGTCTAGATACAATTCTCACAGGCCACCGGTCTTCAGTGGCTAAAGAAAGTCTTCCGGTTTAGGATTCAGGGTTTAGGGTCAGGGCTTTGGGTTGCAAAAGAAGTCCAATGTTTATCACAAGCACTCTACCATTGGAGGACTAGTACGGCTCTGGGGTTATCAATCTTCTTCAACATCAGAACCAAGACTGAAAGGTCTATGGTTAAGTTCCAATGTCAGGTCTGGGTATCTTGGCAACATTGGCTCCATACTGGTGGAGGATGGTTTCGTCGTGACAGAATCCAGAGAGCAATCTTTTTGAAGGTGAAAGCCTGAGTACGTGAGCCATGTCTTGGGGACTTCGAGTATAAACCCCAGTGGTACACAATCTACCCTTCCGCAAGCTAAAATGGAGACTGCGCAAAGGGGCACTTTAAGTACTACCGTCGGTTTGAAGTGAGGCTTGTGGGATTAGGGTGTGGGTTAGGGGTTTAAGGTGTTTGGGTCCCTCTTGATGATGAAAGTGATGTTTATGCACAGTGGCCAGAGCTATGCATTGGCAGTGGCAGACTGCCTAGGATGCTGTTGCCTGCCATGTGGGAAGGTTCTAGAAACATGTGCCTCATCCTGTGAAACTTAACAAAGCTTATGAAAGAAATGCTATGACCTACAAGGCCCCATGCTATCTGCGCAACAACATCTCTAGAACTTCCGGAAGTCTAGGATTTGGGATTCAGGGTTACTCCAGAAGATCCCAATCCACGAAAACACGACACACACCCACATACCCAAATATCAAATCGTCTTGAGAATTCAACATTCCAACAAAATTTCAGGCCCTTGTACCTCTAGCAAAGAATATGGCACGTCAACGCCAAAATTGAAGCCGCTTACTCATGGAAATCTCCATAACATAAGCCCAAGTGTCCATTACATGTGCCATTGCTTTTCCTTTTGTGAGAAAATCCCAGAACCCGACATGGGGCTGCATTGTTACTATTCGGGGTTCACATGCCCTTCTTTCAGCCCGGCAGCCTAAGTAGAAAAGGTGGCCAGCAGAGGCAGCAAATGGTGATGCTGAGTGTACCTTTCAGAGTTGGAGGGAGGGTCTGGGGTTTGAGATTTAGAGTCTTGGGGTATTTAAAGATTTAGGAGCAACACTTCTGTATGTAAGGTCTGGGGTCTCGCGAGAAACTCTGCGGGTACAGGCCTCATGGAAATTCAAGTTCTATCTCGGGAAATGATGATGGTGAGCGTAGCTCACTATACCGTTGAAGGTCGGCTCCTGCCGCACGAGGCCACACCAGAGCTAATGAGACGGAGCCACCCGATCGATCCCACGTAGTACCTTCACTTGCTCTGCAAAATTCTGTAAAGCAATGCTCCTAAAGACACCAGGATCTCAAAGCTCAACCTATCTGGGAAGTCCTATCATCCTTCCGAACCTAGGGTTTGAGCTTTCAAGGTTGAAGGACTTAATCTAATAGTCAGAATATGGGGGCTTGACTTCAGAGGTTACTCTGGAATCGCTCTTTGGCACGGAGTGACTGTAGTGAATGCGCATGAGTTCTACAGACTGCTATAACAGGACTTATCACACAGTTCAGAGATACTTTCCACTGGTTTGCGGTTTGAAGTGAGGAGCCCAACTGTGCCCTTGACCTAGTTGCTGTGTTCAGTGGCCCCTACATGCAAGTCAGGCGTCAACCTCTGAAATCCTGTCACGCGAGCCTCAAATGGATACACCCCGGACTCCGCACTTGATTTAATGCCAATGCACCGAATCAAGGACCCAGGCAACCACGAACCTTCGGAAACCCTGAACCCTGAACCCGAAACTAAAACCTAAAGCCTAAACCCTAAACCCCTAAACCCTAAACCCTGAACCCTAAACCTTGAAGCCTAAACCCTGGACCCTAAACCCCAAACCCCAAACCCGGAATCCTAAACCTTGAAGCCTAAGCCCTGGGGTTGGACTCTAGACGTGGGCCCCAAGAACAATCAAATTCGGTTGAGGATTTCGCTTAGCACTCATGGCTATGCTGGTTCTCACACCAGTAGTAGCTTTATTGGGAAGCGTAGTGCAGATTTGAATTCAATAATTTTTGAAGGTACTATGTTACCTGGACGCCTTGGCATATGTACCATGCCATGTCCGAAAAAACTGGTCCTAAACCCTAAACCCCCTAAGCTCCGAATCCTAAAGCCCTAACCCCCATCTATATCCCGTTTATACTACATAAACACCTACATACCCCTGAATAGCCCCTATGTACCACTACATCCTGAACATGCAACGTAGACACCGGGCTAGATCCTCCGGGAGATCCCCGCGTTCGTTGGGCATGGACTCCGCCCCATGATCCAAGAACAAACGCGTCAACTCTGTATGGCCTTTGGATGTGGGGTTTAGGGCAGGCTCAGGGCTTTGGGATGAATAAAACACCTTGAGCCCTAAACTCTAAACCCTAAGCCACAATAAGAAAATATGGGGTGTAGAAAGAATTTCGGGCTTGGGATCTAGGGTTTCGGGATCCCCAAAGGTGGCTTCAAAACTTGTTCAGCAGTTCCTTGGGGCTTAGGGTTCCCTAGCACCATCTCTCTAAACCATAAATCCTGAGCCCCAGACTCTCGAACCAGTGCTTGACGCTAAACCCCCAAACTCTTCCACCTGCCTAAAACCCCTATACCCTATAGTCCCCCTTAAGTAGGTAGGATATGGCTATGGGTATATGACACTAACATCCCCATATACCCCATATTCTAGCTGGGACTATAAACCCGAGTACCCTCAACACCAGACGCCTAAACCAGTAAAAACTTCCCAGTCACCCACAATGGCCGCGTAGCCCAGGGGGGTCAGGCCAGGCATGCTGCCTGCGAAACGAGTCAGCCTGGCAAGCTTCAAAACGTGGTTTAGGGTTTAGGGCTTGGATTTAGGGGTTTAGAGGTTAAGGGCTTAGGGTTCAGGGGTCTGCGTCTAGGGTTTAGGGGTTTAGGGATTTTGGTTTAGGGAGTTAGGGCTTAGGGGTCTAGGGTTTATGGTTAAGGGCCGTAGATCCTCCAAAGGGATTGAAGGGATCAAAGAGGAATATGGAAGATCCAAGGCACGGCCGGACTCAAGCTTGAAAATCAAGGGTTTAAGGTGTAGTGTTGGGGCATCCTCCATCACTCACACCCAAGAACCTACTAAGCTTTAAAGGACTTGAGTGCCTAACAACAGCCCCTAAACTCTTGCTGTTACCCCCAATAGCTGAAGCCAAAGATTCTAAAGCTTACATCGCTGAACCTCAGAATGACCCGCGGTCGGCTGGGTCATAGAAATGCGGGTCCCCCATCTCAATCACTGAACCCTAGACCTTACAGAGAGAATCATAGACCCTAGAGCCTAGATGGTAATTTCCCAAAATAGGGGGTCGACCCCTCGAGTTGCCATTGCCTCTTGCAAAGGGACCATCCGAAGATGGCGAGCTGGATCTGTGCCTTGCCTTGAGATTTGCTGGGTTAGGCTTCAGGGTTCAGGGTTTAGGGTAAGTGTTCAGTTCAGGGTTCAGGGCTTAGAGTTTAGGGGTAAGGGCCATGGTAGTAAGGCTACGATGATATTGGGATTTCGGCTCTAGTGGTGCATCACGCACAAAGAAATATTGCCTATCATGGCATATATCAGAGACTAAGCATGAAAGCGAGTTCTCACTGGGGGTTTCCCTGCCTAGGGGATTTAGTTTTAGGGTTGCGGTTTGGACTGCCTCTACCCTAGGCCTAAACCTTAAACTCTAAGCCCTAAACCGTGTGAAATCGTGGAATGCTTTCTGACTGAGGTGTTAAATGGGTAAACACTCACCAGTTTCAGACCCAGCGTCGGCAATCCCAGAGCATGTCCTCAGGTATCATCTCCACCGCGTTCACATCTCCACGGTGTGCGATCAACATCCTTGCTATTTCCACAGCCTTAGAGTTGTGGCGGCAGTTCATAGCAAGCGAAAGCAGTGGACTTGACGCCGTATTGTCGCCGGGATCGCAGCGTTTTTCCAGAAGCAGCTTGATCGTGTCCGGGCCACCAAACATGGCCGCACCACATAGGCAAGCATTTGGCATGTCTACCCGGCACTCCAGCAAGACTTTCACATGCTCTGGCGTGCGGCACATGAACAGGGCGTCGAGCCCGGTCCTGGCCTTGGCATTGACATCCGCGCGGAGAGCGACAAGCGTCGCCAGCACGGACGGCTCCTGCCGTGACTTCGTGGCTGCCATGAGGACTGTCTGGGTGTCGTAGTATCCCAGCTCGTTCAAGCCTTCCAGGGAATGGTTGACATCTGCTCGGCGTGCTGCCAGAAGTCGCAGCATATGCTCGTCGCCCGAGAAGGTAGCACACATCACTGCTGTCATGCCAGTCCTCTCCTGCACTGCATCCTCCAGGCTGTCAAAACGGAACTGGCCCAGAAAGGCCTCCAGGCTTCGGCCCTGGCACGGCTGATGCATGAGCTTTGGCCGGAGGGCGGCATAGAAGCGGTAGTGGCTTAGTGGCCCACTCTCCTGTGAAAAGATACAGGGAAGCCCTCTTCATCCTCAAACTTTCTCTGTGTAAAGGGCTCCTTAGACCCTCCCCCAAACGGACGTAGAATTTCACATGGGCCCTGTTTGAAAGGACTGCAGTCTAGGGCCCCTATTGGGTTCCATGTTCGTAGTCTAAGTAACTCCGAGTATCCCCCTTAATAATCCCAATAATACTCCCATACATGATGCCCGATATAACCACCTTTAAGGCGCTTAGACTATAGCTCATGTTAGTCTGGGGGGGGTGTTTGCACCCAGTCTCCTGCAGGTGGCTGATCTTGCTGTCTACAGCCATCTCCCCCAGGTGGACCACCACTGCGCGATCGGACTCCACTGTAAAGTCCCCCTCCACAATACCTGCTAATTTTTTATGAGGTTTCAACACCAGCTACGATTTGGGGAGCTCTATTCAAGGCAAAAACGGGGCTGCAACCCCAAGTATGACTTATAAGCAAGACCCATGCTCTGCACTGAGTTCCTCCTGTGCTAAGGTGGCACAAGAATCCTTCTAGCTACTCTGGCAGAAAGTCAAAAATCTGGCTACCTGCAACTAAAAATAATGACGAACAACAAGCAGAGATTCTGTTGTTCTGCCAGTCGAGAGGGGACATGAACTCGGCCTCGGCCGAAGAGTACACAACGATGACATCGGTGTCCTGTTTGTTCGAGAGCAGTCGACACCACAATTCTGCACGGCACCAGCCCCTGAAACAGGGCGACGGATCAACAGATGGGCCGCACATGAGCTGCAGTCTAAACTCCCAATGCCCCCTTTACAACCCCTATAGCAGTCCCCTATATAATCCCTATATAACCCCCTTGAAGGAGTTCAGACTCTAGCTCACATGGAGGATGCAAGAACCTGGCAGAAGAAAGCTTTGCATTGCAGCATTGCTTTGGTGTGCTAATTTGTGTCCTTGTGCTTCTTGCTACTCATCCCCATCTTTTGATTCCTAGGCCTCGAAAGCCAGGTCGCGTAATTCACCGTTTTAGCAGTATCTCTATGCTCCAGCTCTGGCACCAGTGCTAGGAAGATGTTAGACAGCTCCACATAGGCTGGGATACTCTGAACTGCCAGGGCCGCATCGCTCTTGGTAGCTTCCTCATTGACCCCATCCTTTCGAGCCGTGATTTGCGGAATCGCATACCAATCGAAAAACAGGAACCCCTCAGCGATGTGCCAACGTATCTTTGGAGACAGCTCCCTCTCATCTGTCCAAGTGATAAGGTCCTCGTGTACATGCAACGCTCCGCTGATACTGCTGCGGAGCGCTTCCTGCAGAACCCTCACTTGCTGGCCCTCTGGATCCGGATGGTTGATGCTGAGCCACTGGTGCGAAACAAAAATCAGGAACATGCCTGGATACCACTGGTGAAGCAAGCCCCGCTCTTGCAGCACACCGTGGGGCTCGGGCGGCCCACTCATCTGCAAGAAATCCGAAACCTTGACAGCCCAAAGAGGAAATCGGCACTCATGAACTGTCGACTGCGCAGCGCATGTATACTCCTCCGCTGGCTTGCAGAGTGAAGATCCCATGGCTCTTCGCGCTGCTGTTGGATGAGTAAGAGTAAAACTAATAGTAATGATGCTAGTAATATTAATAGTACGACAAGTCATAGTAATAGTAAAAAGTGTTGGCCTTACCCAAACTCGCCCCACACACCCCCTGCAGACCTGATTTGCGGCTTATGATTCTTTGGTGTTTAGAAATGGGACGGCTCGACAGGGGCGCAGTCCCCATAAACCAAGGGTATGTCTGAGAACGCTCTTACTGCATGCGATTTGGCTAGTCAAAAACTAGAATTGTCGTCCTTGGCTAAAGAATGGGATCTTGCTTTTCAAAGCTAGATGTTTGGGCGCTGTAACGGAAGCGGCTGAAGACTGCATCCTAATGCACTAGCAGTAGTAGTCGTTCCCCTGCAGGTGGAATCACGCTTGTCAAGTTGAGGGCTGAACTGCTGGATTCAGAGCCTGCAGCTCGAGAGCTTGGGGCAGCAGCCGCCAGACACATACACAGGTTGCTCCCAAAGAAATACTGCTCCAACAATTTCGCTGCTGTTAGAGGCAAGAGTGCACGGTCTTTCGTCCTGAAAAGCTTCCGTCTGCATCTGCCACAGAATACCTACCGAAAAACCTAAACCTTGAACCCCTAGACCCCTAAACCCCTAAACCCCTAAACCCTAAACCCCTAAACCCCTTAACCCTAAACTCTTACACCCTAAACCCCCAAACCCTAAACTCCTAAGCCCCTCCTCCGAACGTAGAAGCGCCAGACTTGCCCCGACTTCGGCGTGGCAAGGCGCTTGGCATAGACCTCAGTCCCACAAGTATGACATACCCGGTTTAGGGTTT